AGCAGCAAGGGTAGAAGAGGCATCTACATACAGTGTAAAAAAGCAAAATGGGATACAGTCCAATTAGCATGTGGAATAAATCTGTGCCTCAACGCCAATACCTAAGGCTTCTCACACCTACTAGCACAGTGAAACATGTGAACGAACCAAGGACTTGCCAAACTGATGTCAGTTTGCTTCAGAAAAAAAAAGCGTCATGAACCCAGTTCTTCTGAGGCTTATACTGCCCAAATCATCCTTTCGTAAGAAAGACTTTGGTTGTTTTACAGCCAACGTTCCAACCTCCAGTAACTTACTTTAGAAAAATCCACAAAACTATTTGGCATAGGTTGGTGGAAAATATTTGAGGGAGCCACTATTCCAGAATCATCTCTCTCCATCGGCTGATGCTGAGAAAACGTGCCCGGGTCTGACAACTGCTGATGCATTGGATGACTTCCCATTACAGGCTGAGACCAACCTGACAAGCCTTCTGGAAAGGAGAAATTGTAATTAGCCAATTTCAATCAATTGCAGATACTCTGGAGTACAATTCAACAGCTGTAAACACCTACACAAATGCAAGGGATTCCAGCAAACACATACAGTGCTGCAGAACATCTTAGGATTCTGTTCTGAGCAAAGGCAGACCTCGTGCAGCCTATGCAAAGCAGGTATGACACTTGCAATTTCCAGGCCATTACCAAAAAAGGAAAGACAAAAGTCTGTGTTCTGTGCATCTGTACTGCTATGGCCTGTCACGGGGAAGCTGCAAAAGGCGTACCCTATGTAAGGGTGGCCACACAGTCGCTTGCTTTCCCCCAAGCTCCCATATCCTATTGCAGATTTAACCACCACAGTAACGGGAGGGACAGGGGGGTGGGGGGGGGAGCAGAGAGAGGCGGGGCAGAGAGATGTGTGGCCACACATCTGACTTGGAGAAGGATTCCCTTAAGAGGCCAAAGTTGTTTACTTTAAAATTTCATATCATTCAGAAGACTTGGTATGAAATATTTGAAGCGTTCTCAGGGTTTGCAATTGTACTCTGGCAGAAAACCCAGGCTTGGTGAGTACCATCTACACTAAGAGAGAGAAAAAACAATGCCTTCACTGATCAACACTTTCACATCACTTGGACATCATTTTTCCTTTGAGGACATATGGGCAAGTTGATTACAGATTTTTATTTCTAGATTCAAACATAATATTTTGTTTTTATCTTCTTTCTTCCGATTATGAAGCTTTAGTGCTTATTTCAGAAACTGGAATTTCATT